GCGCATGCTCCCCTGAAACTCCTCTATTCTCTAAATCAAAGGTTAGCCGAAAATTGTGGATAAACGAGAGATGAAAGATCAGAAAGAAATGGCTCAAGCGCTTGAAATTCGATCTTCCGCAGCGTGGATGTTAGCTCCGACTATCGTTAAAACGCTTGCAAAAAAAAGTTATACTGTGCCTCTGCCATGAGAAATAGCACCCCCAGGAAGACTCGGTTGTTTTGAAAAAAGTTACTGACTTGTATTATCGATAGATACCTCCACCGTGGTTCACAACTGTCAATGTTTGAGGCGAATGGTAAGACTTTATCACTCATCTGTCCAGTTGCGCAAAAACCTTATCATGCGTTTTTGCATGTATGCAAATGCGAAAACACATATTGTGACGACCCATGGTGTGTGTATGTGTGCCCGGGTATTTCAATTCGACACCCATGCAACCTTCGGTGCCAAAATTTTGCTTACAAGTCCCCCGGCCAGGTGCCACCCCAGGACTGCGTAACTAACTCCCGTGCAAGTCTGGGCCCCGCGTACGAGAGGATGAAAATTTTGACGGGAAAATCGCTAACTCCGGAACCAGAAAAGCTAGAAAGCTGAAACTTTGCAATTATGTTTGCCGTCCACATAGAATACAAAGATTTCAAATTCATCCTTCAGGCATGCGTGGTTCTCATGTACGGCTTTGTGAAGGTTCCTGGCAGGAAAACCGCCAACATGAGATTCAGGAAAGCTGAGGAGCTGAAATTTTCACGGAGTGTTCCCAGCACATGTACAGCTTGAATTTAACAAATCCAACTCCCAGGCATCCTAGTTATCGTGTTGCCCCATGGAAATTTTTGGCGGGAAAATGGCTAACTGGGTAATCAGGGAAGCTGAGAGGCTGAAATTTTCCGGGAATGTTTCCAGTGTATGTACAGCATAACTTTATCGAATTCGGCGTCTCGGTGTGCGTGGTTCTCAGGTATGGCCCCATGGATTTTTGGCGCGGAAATGGCGAACTCGAGAACCAGGAAAGCTGGGAAGCTGAAACCTTCAGGGAATGTTCCCAGCTCATGTACAACTTAAATTTAACAAATTCGGCTTCCAGACATCCGTGGTTATCGCGCATGCCCCCGTGAAATTTTTTGGCGGGAAAATGGCTAACTCGGGAACTAGAAAAGCTGGACAGCTAAAATTTTGACGGAATGTCCCCTGTCCAAGTACCGCGTAATAATTAACTTCCCGAGCTTCGAGCACCAGTATTTCACACATTCTAGCTACTGGTTTCCCGAGCAGCCTCATTACAGCACAAAATACTGCAAAAACGCATGATCGCACGGGCCCACCCGGTGCGCGTCGCCAGTGATTTTACAAACGACCGCTCGAGCAACACTGCCACTTTTTAGTGAACTGGAAATTTGTATTTTTTCAAAAAGCGAGCATTTATCGAAATAGCGAGCGGGCTTCATACAAAAAACTGGTAATCATGTACCTGGAGGTCCGTGCGGCTCTATAATGCACCACCTTCATCTCAGCCGGCGCCCTTCCTCCTGCATGCCGGAAGGGGCCAAAGCACGGCCAATATGAGCCAAAGTGTCAGGCTACAGCGCAGGGACCATTCTTGCTATTAGCAACCTGCGAGTTTAGTGCAAAAACGCATGGTCGTACCAGCAAACCTGGTGCGCTCCAGCCTGGGTTCATTCTAAATTATCTGATGGAGCGTGATAGAGATTAACAAGTTTCACTCGGCCGACGTTTTGCCCATCCAACAACGCTGAGCTCAAGCTAGGTCGAAACGATCAAAAGAACGAACAGGGACTTAAAAGTATGATACGCTATGACTTCTTTTTGCGCATTATTTTCACGAATTACCCTGCAAAGCTTTTCTGGTAGCTCAGTCGCGATAGTAGCCTTTACTTCAAAGATAAGCATGAGTTAGCTGGAGGATAATGCTCTCATAAGGAGCAATGCGTCACAAAAGCATATTTGCGAAATTAGGAAGTGAGACAGACAAAACTGATGCAGTACTTCAAATTGCCAGAAGACGCGAATTGCCAGATTTTGGGTTGTTTAGTCTACAGTTTCCCGCAATTGTAGACTGAATAACCCAAAATCAGTTTGGAAAAACAGTCCTCCTGGTTTACAGTCTTACATCCAGAGGCACATTGATATTTAAAATTCAGAAATAAAATAAGTTCTAAACTGTTTTTTATTTAGAGCTGGGCGTTTGAAGATAATATGACAAACATCTGAGCAAACCAGTATTTACAGCCAGAAGTTGAGTAAGATAATTTTTGGCACATTTAGGACATTATACTGTGAACTCAGGATGCTACACTGTAAAAACAACAAAGCCTTGCCGACTCTTAGTGTGTTTCGCTGTTCACTTAGGATTCTGCATACACGAGACTGCTTTTTCTAGTGGAGTGAACTTTACTGTATAAGCGCCCAAATTACATACATAATCGATGACAAGGGACAACTTACTTCTCGCAGTCGTGAATGGAAAATTGTAACCAGCGAAATAACATTACCACATAAACCGAAAATAACAATAATCGGCAAGATAATCATGTACAAATCAGCACCTTCTTGATCGTCAGGTGCTGCACTCTCAACATTTGATGCATTCATAGCTTCCGAAAGCTTTCGAATGCTCCTACTACAAGTGCAACCTTAGTGCACTAATTTCGTTTCTATCTACCTGAAATTTCTTGGCTCGTTCAC